ATAGGTCCATCAATAGCTGTTAGCTAAAATGGGCAGGGATGGTTTCCCTAGCCTCCTTTGCCAGAAACTATGAATGAGTAACAGGGAATGGATCACTTGATGGTTACCATTTCACCAGGCACAGTTGTAGATGTGGGTCCAGTTCCAGGCTGTTAGCTCTTGGTGAAGGTCAACAGAGAAACTCTTACCTGTTAAGTACAGAATATTTTAATCATCATCTGTGATGCAAAAGGGTTCCTGGGCTTTACACTTAAGCACAAAAACTACCAAGCTGTTCTTCCTTATTTAAAAAAAAACTCTCAAATGTTTATATCTTCCAGTTACTCTCTTTCCTTTCCTGTCAGTTATAAAAACAAGTGATAGATCCTGCTTCGGCGAAACAAACCTGCAGGATTTTAACAGGGTCCTATAATTATTATTTTAATTTTTAGTTTCCCGTCCTTACATTTTCACCCATTACATTTATTGCAAATGTGATTGATTTATGTGAAATTCTGTGGGTGTACCTATTGCAAACCACAAGGTAAAGCTGTCTGTATGGATTAACCCTATTAACATGCTGATTCTGACTTTGTACCTGCTGTTTTTAACTTTGGTCTGATTTTGATAATTAAAAATTATGCAATTGCAAATGACAATCTAGAGAGATAAACCTTGGGTTTATTTATTGGGCTTTTAGGGGAATAAGAATGAGATTTATAAAAATCTCTTTATTAAAAGATTCAGAGGGGTAGCTGAGTTAGTGTGTACCGGATAAACTTAAAATATAACAAATAGCATGGTAACACTTTAAAGACTAACAAAACATGTAGATGGTATCATGAGTTTTTGTGGGCATAGCCCACTTCTTCAGATGTGTTACTCTACAATTGGCATTGTGGCATTCTGTGTCTATTGCATCTCTATTTCCATCACACTGACTTCAGTATACAAGTGTTGTTTTCTGCCAGCCCAGCAAACTCAACCCAGTCTCCAAAAAGTCAACCTCAGTAGGGGCGGTTTCATGTAATTGTCATGGACTCACAGGCCATGCCTACACTTATCTGTATAGTCCTGGGTGGGAGTCGGGGGAATGCCTTTCAGTGTCATAGCCCTTCTCAGGGGTCAACTCTCTCTCAGGGTTAAGCCCCTCCACCTCCTAGGACTGTACCTCTCTGAGCTTTCAGCATGCCTGTCTCTAGCTGGAGTCCCCGAAGTGGCCAACACTCGCTCTGGAGCCCTGAGGCCTCCCCCTCCAGAAAGAATAATGCCATCCTGTTCTCTAGACCCAAGCAACTCTCAAGTCAGCAGAAACAAAAGGGTTTACTGGGCATATGAACACAGCATAAGAACACACCACTGGTAGGTCTGGCATCCATCAGCACAGCATGTCTAATTCTTTCCTGCATCCAAGGAGCTGCTGCCTGTTCTCCCTTCCCAATCCTCAAACATTCTCCTTCCAGTCAAGTCTCTGATATTCCTCCCCAGTCCTTTGTCAGATCCCTCTCTTCTCTGCCTCTCCTCCATCCTTTGTCTGGCCCCACTCCTGGCTGGAAACATCTGGTCAGGTCACCAGGGTCCTCTCTCTCTCTCTCTGCAACCTATTGTCCTCCCACTGCCACAGAACTGGCTGTGCTGTCCAAGATGGATCTCCTGGTCACCAGTCGCTGAAGTCTCCGTTCTCCTGGTCCCAGTTCCATGCTGGTCCCTGTAATAACAAAACTCCCTCTCTGCACACCTCATTAAACCAGTAACACTCAGGGACAATGATTCCCAGATCCTCTGCATGCAACCACTGGAACCCTCCTTCCCTTACTCTCCACAGTAATATATCTGTTTAACAGGCCAAATCAGATTCTCAATTGAAATCTATTCCTTACAGACAGTGACCTTCATGAAGCACATGCAAAACCTGTTTGTAGCCAATGCCTTTACATAGTAAATAAAGGATCTCACTTGTAGTTGGAGCTTTCTAAACAATACTGATGATTAGGTAAGTAAGAACAACATCAAGCTCACTTTGAGTTTTGAGGTTCTTCTGCAGCGCAAAGTGTAGCACAGGTCAATCAAAATTTATTGTCACTAAAATCGGATACAACTCTGAATATAGATCATGTTGATCAATTCAGTAAAAATTTTTATTTTACATCTTCAGTTTTTAGAGAACTGCAGTGGAGAAAAAAGCACATATAAATGCTATTATTTTACTGGTGAAACAAGAACTATGTAAGAATGTTCCCATAATTCAGTAGTTTAACATTTGTAAGTCCAGGCCCATGGCACAAAACCATTTACTGATCATGAAAGAATGTGTATGGCTCTGAGCGGAAAACAGTTTATCAAAGTTAAGAAACAGACATTTAAAATCATTCCTATCATTTTGCTAATCATCTTGGGTTTTTTTACTCATGATGTTCATTATGGCTTTGATGTGAACTGTCAGAATGAAAAATACAAATTTCTATAAGCCCAGAATTTTAGAAGGTATGATCCATTCAGTACTATCTCTAGCAATTATTTGAGAGGGACCATTATCAGAATTCAAGAAAATAATAAATAAAACTGAATGTATTCTAGGGTCCAACAGGATCAGCCAGTCTCATAAACGTCTTCAATCACTGTGAAATCAGAAACCATTTCTCCAACAGTAATAAATATTTGTTGTTAACCCTAACATTTCATGAGATATCAATATTAGAGATGACCACTTGTACACTGATCTAATAATACATCATTGAACAGAGGTCCAAGATGGTCTGTACCAACCCAGGAAAACCTCTGACTAATATAATTTTCCGTACTTTCAACTTTAGCATATATCAAGTGTTTCTTTTCTGATATTAAAGTATTTTGCTTAAGCCAAAATCATCCTAAACCAACCCAACAAAGTATAATGAAAAATATGTTGAGAAAACATGATAAGAATAAAGAAAGACGTAAGAGAGTGCTGCTTTGGGTAATGTAAAACCAGTTATAAACTAAAACCAAACTGGGTATTTATACTGTATCATTTTAAATCAATCTGGAAACAGTTTTCCTTTTACCAAATGGGTTTATTGACACACTGATCATAACCGTGTACAACATGTATGCATCTCCTATTATAAGAATATCCAGTGACAGAGTTAAAATAAGTGTGATATATAGTTTAATGCTACTGAATCTTCATTTAATTTTAGAAATAACAATGGTGTTGTCCATGGATAATCACATTGACCCCATAGATATCTGACAATAAAAGAGTCAAGAGTTTAGACACTTAAGTCAATTTAAGGACTGAATCTTCATTTCTTCAATCCAAATTTAATTCAGTCTTTCATGTTAATGATTTTAAGTGACTATTTTCCTGCATATGGACTGTAAGAATTGGTCCTTAGTGTCCATAAAAAGATATGGCTTCACAAAACTTTAGACTGAGTGTGAAATCAATAGAAAAATTCCTACTGAAGTCAATAAGATCAACATTTCACTTTGAAATCCACTTTGCATATATAATAGATAAGGATTAAGTCAAATTCTCTCAATGCTCCCTCTTCTCAGTATTTGGACCAGAAACATTAACAAATTATCTCCATGGCATGATAGGTTCGTTCCCATTCAGTTGCTGGACTCTCAACAAGAGTATTAATTACTATGGTGTCCTTTGTAAATACTTGTTCATTAAAAGGTAAACAGACACCACTATTTTAGCCAATTTAGGCTACTGAAAGTCAAATTCTCTCAATGCTCCCTCTTCTCAGTATTTGGACCAGAAACATTAACAAATTATCTCCATGGCATGATAGGTTCGTTCCCATTCAGTTGCTGGACTCTCAACAAGAGTATTAATTACTATGGTGTCCTTTGTAAATACTTGTTCATTAAAAGGTAAACAGACACCACTATTTTAGCCAATTTAGGCTACTGAGCCCCCCCCCACCCTCTCTTTCCTCCCCACCCCCTGCTTTCTGGTCCCCAGCAGCCCAGGTCAAATATGAACCAGTGACAGAGATCTATGACTCCATATTCTATCTCTGAACTCTTGAGCCATTCAGTTCAAGAGTTCATTTGAGGCTCTAGGTAAAATGAATAGGAACAAAAGTAACATCACTGCTCTTGGGAACATATGCAAGTATTTTAGAAGGAGCTCACTATAACTGTAACCACAGTTTGGACCTTTTTTAATTAGCTCATTTCTAGACCATGCAAAAAGAATGTAACCTACACCACCATGTTTAATAGTGGCAGAAGCACATTTCTGTAAATATTTAGGGAAGTAAATCTCCCAGAAAAATAAGAGCAGCTGACCATAAAATCACTAATACTGCTCAGAAAACAAAAAATGTATTCAAATAAAAGAAATATACTACTGCAAGAGATTAACTCAAGATAAAGATTTAACTTTACCATTAACTCAAGTAGGTGAAGAAAACACTGAAAACAGAGTAACATACAAAAATTAATGATTTCACAGTGAGGTACAAGTACATACAAAACTAATTTTAGTACAGTAAAACTAAGAGAATTTCTTATTAGCATAAATTTGTTTCACATTTCTGAAATATCCTCCACGTATTACTTTTAAAAAAGGAATGCATCTATGCTATCCATTAATCGATAATTCACCTTAGTATCCACTCATATAGCTACGAAGATGTATTATTTGTAAAGGTCAGTGATTCACTGACCAAGCATGTACCTAGACTACTAAAAACACATTAAAATGTAGACGTACCAAGCAGTATTTATTTAAAAACACAATTTTGAAATAACTCCCTGTAAACATGTTATAAAACTTGTTAGTTTTCCTTAGTGGTGTCAGCAATATATTCCTGCAAGACTAGAAATCAGTTGCATTATGGCTTTTATATAAAAAGGTATAAAACACACACACACAAATTGTCTTCATTCCACTTGAGTTAAAACAACCACATCACTCAAACGCTCCATAATGTTCAGATTTGCTGAATTCAGTAACCATGGTGCTGTTCCTAAATTTTATTCCACCAACAGGCTTTGGAAGAGATTATGGGTTTAGAAAGTCAGCGTTCAATAAACTTCAAACATACTTCTTGTATCATATCAGCAATCTGGGTTATTTGTTTGACCGGTGAAAGGTAAACCTGTACCTTGTTAAACAAAAAACAAACACACACACAAAAAAAAACACAGTGCAAGATTATCCTGAAAGATACAGTACATAAACTGCTGGCTCTGAAGACAGATTCCCCACCTGCTGCTACATGCATTAGCTCTCATACCCTTCTGCTCTTCTAGACAGCAATTATTTTACTTCTTCAGGTTAGTGATTTTTTTAATCTTCAAGGAATTACTAATATTTTAAAGGATTTCCTTATTATCAACATGCCAGACCAAACCCAGCTCAACCCCTCCTGGTATCTAAAATGTGCCCACAAAGCGAACTCAGCTCCCTCCTACCTGCAGGAAAGAGCATGGATACATAATTCCATTGCTGCAGTCTCAATAGAACAAGCTTGGATCCCCTATGTCAGCTCGACCACATGAAGTGGCAATAAACTGGAAAGCTCTTAAGAGGCTTTTACCCCATCTCAGCCCACTCCCACTCTGCTTAGCAACAACCTTAATTTCCATGCACCCCTAAATACACTGAGGTGGCAGGGGAGGGATGAGGAAAAAGGGTACTAAAACTCCCAGCCAGACCTGCTGCACCATGATGCCAGCACAGGGCCAGCTGAGAGCTGTAGTTTCTGTGGCTGTCCCACTAGTCTGCAAATCGTTGTGGCAGCAGGTGATCCTCCCCTCGCCGGGCACTGCCGCTGTCAGCAAAGCGCTCACAGGGAAACTCAATGAGATCGGCCTCACTGAGAGCACAAGCAACAGCACTGCGGGGTGGACGGTGGGACTGGAAGCCAGAGAAGTCAGTGGAGACACCAGTGCCCATAGAGCGGAGTGGCCCTGGCGCTGCCTGCCGCCGCCCCTGTACCTTTTTCCGCACCAGGCGGGAGGCCCAGGCCGCCAGGGCCACAAAGAGCAACATCGCATTTACTGCTAGCAACACCAGTGTGAGGAGTTGCTGGTCTGGGCCGCCAGCTGTGCCCCCCTCAGACAGGGTGACCAGCCCCACACAGTGGTCCCGGGGTGCCACTGGACAAACCCTGGCGCTGCCTGCCGCCGCCCCTGTACCTTTTTCCGCACCAGGCGGGAGGCCCAGGCCGCCAGGGCCACAAAGAGCAACATCGCATTTACTGCTAGCAACACCAGTGTGAGGAGTTGCTGGTCTGGGCCGCCAGCTGTGCCCCCCTCAGACAGGGTGACCAGCCCCACACAGTGGTCCCGGGGTGCCACTGGACAAACGCGGCCACCCAATATCCCCTCCACACAGACCAGATAAGGGGTATCAGGGTGCAGCTCCTGCAAAGTGGCAGATGGTGCGCTATGTTCTGCCAAGTACACGAAGCGCTGGAACTTGACAGTGGCCCCAAAGCGGTCAAAAAGAAGCCTGAAGCGCACAGGTCCCAGCAGGCGGGGACTGCGGTGGGGCCGAACTCCCCAATGCACAGTCACTGAGCTGGTGCTCACTGTTTCAACTGACAAGTTACACAGAAAGAGTTTATTGAAGTCACAGGGGTCAGACACTAGTGGAGCTCCAGCCAAAGAAGGGGATAGGTGGTGCTTCCCTGCTCGCCGAGGCCATGCAGGGCCAGCCAGAGGAGGGGGGGGTTTGGAGCCGGCCAGCAGATTGGGTAG